GACATTGATTTAGTTTGCTGATCTCTTTTTCCAATGCCTCATATTTTTTCAATAAGATTTCATACTTCTGTGTTAAACTGTCAGTTTTTTCTATCGATTTGTTTGACACTTCCTGGCATAGAATTTGGCTTATATTCCATACAAAATTATTGCATGTTTCTTACCGGTTCAATACATCTGCATCATAGTTTTGGAAATTAGACACCTGCAAAGTTACATTGTCAATGCGATATTTTAACCTTTTCCCTTATATAAGCGTGTTTCGACGGCTTTTTGCCCCCCCTTTTGAGGCCTCACACATGGATAAAATGCCCTATTTAGGCCCCAAACACTGTTTTTCGTTTGAGAAATGTTGTTTAAAAAAGTGACCACTTTTTCGGCGCCGTCCCCCATCCAAATATTACATCAGGGGGTTGCCAGAAGGGGGATGTGCCCCCTTGTGTTTTGGGGGTTTGAAGGGGGTGGAGTCCCCCTCTTCTCCAAGAAAATTTTGGACATGTGACAGGCTAAAAATGGCCTCAGGTCGATCTTAGGGTAACTAGTAACCGACGCTGAAAAGCCTTTTACTCTATCTCAATTCATTGATAAGTTGCAGCACTTTGAAATCAGTTTTGATGGAAAAAAGCAATGCAAAATAGTGATTTTTGGCAATTATGAGACGTCCCCCCATTGCCATGGTAACAGGAAATTTACTATTGAGCATGCTGTTACAGGGGCTATGGTGTAGTCAACATTTGTGCCAAGTTTCATTAGTATTGAAGCATTTTTCACAGTTTCATAGCAGTTTGAACTTGTTACAGGAGGCTTTTCAATGAAAACGGCCATTTTTCGCAATATGCACATGGGGTAAAAGGTTAATGAAAAAAATTAAAAATGTCAAAATACAACAATTTTTCACCAAATTTCGGTGTTAGGGCATGTGTTAACAGGGAAAATCAAGTTTTTGTGTAATTCCAAGGTTTTTTATCTTTTTTTGTTTAACAATTTTCCCTTATATAAGCGTGTTTCGACGGCTTTTTGAGGCCTCAAACAGGGATAAAATGCCCTATTTAGGCCCCAAACACTGTTTTTCGTTTGAGAAATGTTGTTAAAAAAAGTAACCACTTTTTCGGCGCCGTCCCCCATCCAAATATTACATCAGGGGGTTGCCAGAAGGGGGATGTGCCCCCTTGTGTTTGGGGGGTTTGAAGGGGGGGGGGTGGAGTCCCCCTCATCTCCAAGAAAATTTTGAACGTGTGACAGGCTAAAAATGGCCTCAGGTCGATCTTAGGGTGACTAGTAACCGACGCTGAAAAGCCTTTTACTCTATCTCAATTCATTGATAAGTTGCAGCACTTTGAAATCAGTTTTGATGGAAAAAAGCAATGCAAAATAGTGATTTTTGGCAATTTTGAGACGTCCCCCCGTTGCCATGGTAACAGGAAATTTACCATTGAGCATGCTGTTACAGAGGCTATGGTGTAGTCAACATTTGTGCCAAGTTTCATTAGTATTGAAGCATTTTTCACAGTTTCATAGCAGTTTGAACTTGTTACAGGAAGCTTTTCAATGAAAACGGCCATTTTTCGCAATATGCTCATGGGGTTAAAGCCTTAAATTTTCTTTGAAATGTTTCTTCAGAAACAAAAATAGTAGAAATTTCTACAAAACTTTTCCTCTTTGTGATCAAGTGATGAAAATAACAAATCAACACTGCAGTCACATGTTATATGACGTTTCAATTTGAACTTGTGAAGTGGTTAATATTGTTAATAGGACTGCAGTAAGTGCTCACTGAATTAATTGTTTGGTATCAAGGAAAAACAGTTAAAAATACAAAAAATAAATTTAAAAAATGGAACTGATGGTCTGTTGTAAGGTATTATAGGATCAAAGTGAAAGTGTGATATTTAAAGAACTGATGCTTCTGCAGTACTGCATGTGTACTTCATCAGATGATTTCATGTCGTTTTTCAAATTATTGTAAATTTAAGGGAAATTACACATGAAAATTTCAGTATTATTTAAAAGTTGATTTGTTATTATGAAAGTATTCAAATAATGAGATTTTATATAATTATCAGGTGGCTGTATCTACATCTTTTTTCATATGAGTAACAACTTTTCAATATGTTGATTGTTAAAATTTTAATTCAACACATAATTTTCACACACAAAGATTTAAAGTTTCATTCAAATACTTGCTTGGTTTATACAAGGGCTGTGGTATAAAGTCGTGGACAATCACTGTAAAACCAAAAATTAACACCCTAGCCTAAAATAACTTTGTGCAATTGTACAGGTATCTCCATCAATTTAAAATGAATTAAGAAACATTCTTAAAAATGTCAAATTTTGTTGTGAAAACTATCTAGAATGAAATAAAATGGTCTAACTAAGAAAATGAATCCCAACACCAATATCTTTAGTTCAGTCGTTAACACTGTACAGACGTCTAAAGGGTTGTTTACGTGACGTCACAATGTAGTGCCAAACAGAACATGCCTAAACAATCAAATCAAGAACGCTATTTCAATGTTGCAAACGAGTTAAATTTCACATTTATTTCACTATTAATACTCTGTATTTGGCTTGAAAAGTATACTGGGATCCTACATGTTTACCGGACAATCAGTTTACCGAACAAAAGCTATTCCTGCTGAATAGTGCTTTTATTTTTGCTTTGATAAAAAATCATCTGGTCTGAATCATAAACACACTTTCTATTTCAAAGTAAATAACAACAAAACTACTTTCAGGTAAATATGGTTGATTCAGTTCTTTATTTACTAACATACCCTTTTTGTGTCGCCTCTACGGAGTAGTGGCGACATATAGGGATCACTTCTCCGTCGTCTGTCTGTCTGTCTGTCCGTCACAAAACTTGTCCGGACTACTCCTCATAAACTACTGGGGCAATTTCATCCAAACTTTACAGGAATGATCAGTACCAAGTCTAGTTGTGCATATTGTCAGCATTTTCCGGTTCAATGATTTTTGTCAGAGTCAGGCCCTTTAATAATTTTTAATTTTAAAGTTTGTCCGGACTACTTCTCTTATATCACTGATGCAATTTCAATGAAACTTTACAGGATTGATCTGTAGCTCAAGTCCTTGCGCATATTGCATGGGTTTTCTGGTTGAATGATTTTTGGCCGAGTTATGGCCCTTTGATAAAAAGGTGTTTTTTTATGTGTGTTGCCAGATATCCAAAAGCTTGTCTGGACTACTCCTCATAAACTACTGGTGCAATTTCATCCAAACTTTACAGGAATGATGAGTACCAAGTCTAGTTGTGCATATTGTCAGCATTTTCGGGTTTAATGATTTTTGTCAGAGTTATGGCCCTTTAATAATTTTTATTTTTAAAGTTTGTCCGGACTACTTCTCTTATACCACTAATGCAATTTCAATGAAACTTTACGGAATTGATTTGTAGCTCAAGTCCTTGCGCATATTGCACGAGTTTTTTGATTGAATGATTTTTGGCCGAGTTATGACCCTTTGATAAAAAGGTGTTTTTGTCCCCCGCCTTTTCGAAGAAAAAAGGGGGATATAGAAATAGGCTCCGTCCGTCTGTCCGTCCGTCCGTCTGTCCGTCCGTCACACTTTCGTGTCCGGTCCATAACTTTGTCATTTATGAAAGGAATTTGAAATAATTTGGCACAAATGTTTATTATAATAAGACGATGTGTCATGCGCAACAACCAGACCCCTACCTCCAGGGTCAAGGTCACACTTGCTCATTCAAGGTCAAAATTACCTATTTGAGGGTATATGTCGTGTCCGGTCCATAACTTTCTTATCTATGAAGGGATTTTGTAAATACTTGCCATAATTATTCACAATAATCAGACGATGTGTCATGCGCAAAAACCAGTCACCTACCTTCAAGGTCAAGGTCACACTTGGAGGTCAAATATTAACATAGTCTGTTACAGGGTATATTTCGTGTCCGGTCCATAACTTTCTTATCTATGAAGGGATTTTGTAAATACTTGCCATAATTGTTCACAATTATCAGACGATGTGTCATGCGGAAAAAGCAGTCACCTACCTTCAAGGTCAAGGTCACACTTGGAGGTCAAATATTAACATAGTCTGTTACAGGGTATATTTCGTGTCCGGTCCATAACTTTCTTATCTATGAAGGGTTTTTGTAAATACTTGCCATAATTGTTCATAATAATCAGACGATGTGTCATGCGATAAAACCAGTTGCCTACCTTCAACGTCAAGGTCACACTTGGAGGTCAAATATTAACATAGTCTGTTACAGGGTATATTTCATGTCCGGTCCATAACTTTGTCATTTATCAAAGGAATTTGAGATAACTTGGCACAAATGTTTGTTATAATAAGACGATGTGTCATGCGCAACAACCAGACCCGTACCTTCAGGGTCAAGGTCGTACTTGTTCATTCAAGGTCAACATTGTCTATTTGAAGGTATATGTGGTGTCCAGTCCATAACTGTCTTATCTATGAAGGACTTTTGTAAATACTTGCCATAATTGTTAACAATAATCAGATGATGTGTCATGCGCAAAAACCGGTCACCTACCTCCAAGGTCAAGGTCACACTTGGAGGTCAAATACTTACATAGTCTGTTACAGGGTATATTTTGTGTCAGGTTTATAATTTTTTTCATAGATCAAAGGATTGTGAAAATACTTCGCACAAATAGTCACTATAATAAGAGGATGTGTCATGCGCAACACCTGCATCCCTACCTCCAAGGTCAAGGTCACACTTAGAGGTCAAAATTAACATAGTCTGTTATAGGGTATATTTTGTGTTGAATCTAGAACTTCTTCATAGTTCAAGGGATTTTGAAATAACTTTGCACAAATAGTCACAATAATAAGACGTTATGTCATGCACAACACCTGCTCCCCTACCTCCAAGGTCAAGTTCACACTTAGAGGTCAAAGCTTAACATGATAGATTTTTAAATTCCGTGTTTCATTTTATTTTTTTAACAAATTTATTGTTACATTTGCAGATCTAGCATTGATCATGATTTTGGACTGAATGTCCTGAGATCCATACCTCAATCTTTTGAAATAGCACAATTTTATGCTTCATATAAAACTCCCGGGGCGGGGGACGTTGGTAACTCTGTTACAAATTCTTGTTTTCTGTGTGTTGCCAGATAAGCAAAAGCTTGTCCGGACTCTACTCCTCATAAACTACTGGTGCAATTTCATCCAAACTTTACAGGAATGATCAATACCAAGTGTAGTTGTGCATATTGTCAGCATTTTCCGGTTCAATGATTTTTGTCAGAGTTATGGCCCTTTAATAATTTTTATTTTTAAAGTTTGTCCGGACTACTTCTCTTATTCCACTAATGCAATTTCAATGAAACTTTACGGAATTGATCTGTAGCTCAAGTCCTTGCGTATATTGCACGAGTTTTTTGGTTGAATGATTTTTGGCCGAATTATGGCCCTTTGATAAAAAGGTGTTTTTTTCTGTGTGTTGCCAGATAAGCAAAAGCTTGTCCGGACTCTACTCCTCATAAACTACTGGTGCAAATCATATCCAAACTTTACAGGAATGATGAGTACCAAGTCTAGTTGTGCTCTGTCCGTCTGTCTGTCACAAAATTTGTCCCAGCATGAAATTGGCCATCATGAGGCGACATATGTGATTACTGATCGCTCTTGTGTTTACTAATTATTTCATGACCTGGTCATGCGGGGGAACAATCTGTTCTGCGCATGCCAGAATAAAGAGGCCCTTAATGGGTTATTTTAGATAGGTTTTACTTTTAATTCTTCTCCACGTTATCTCAAGAGACAATCGAAACATATTTTAATAATAAAAAGTAATTTTAAATTTAGTCCAAAGAGTATCTCGTTGTTGTCTTTTACAATGAAATGCACATTAAAAAACATATAAGAAAACGGGTTACGCCCATGGGAGGAATCTCTACATGAATTTACATTTCAGAAATGTAAATAAAATAATTTTTGGCTTTTGTAGCATGCTACATGATGACCAAAAAGAAACTGTATGACAAAGAACAGAATTCCATTTAAATATCAAAATGTTTTATACGTTTAAGTTTCATTAAGAGTCAATACACTAATTGCGTTAATAGTGTTAATTTCAATTACACCCCATATATTGACCTCTTCGTTACAAGCATGGCTGCAGTGTCTTATTTTAGTGACATAATGTTTTTTTTCAGTATCTTAACCTTGCCTTTCAATAGTTGTACATGTAGTTTCCTTGCTGATTATTTAAAGATTAATTTCAATTCAGGACTTTAAAAAACTTGAAACACAGTGTCCGGTAAATTGAGCTGTCTACAGGATTTTTTCTCTCTTAAAATGCCCTACTTTAAAGACACATTTCTGCCGTCAAATGTTTAATTTCATGTTTGTTAAAGTAATGTTTACTTGTATTAAGAACCCAAAATTATTTGGGTAAAATTCCATTCTTTTTTATTGTTTTAAATAAAAGTTACAGCGAAAAAACATCATATTTTGTCCGGTAATATGTAGGATCCCAGTAGTGAAATAAAATAAACAAAGTATTATCGACGTTTTCAAAATTCCATGTTCTACACACAGTAGATTTAACGACAGTTGTTTTATTCAACCCACTGACATTTTCAAAATTCCATGTTCAACACACAGTAGATTTAACGACAGTTGTTTTATTCAACCCACTGGAACAGCCTTTAATTAAAGAACTTTTCTATTGGAAACTCTGAGGCGAAAAACAAATTTAAGCACCAAACATAAAGTCCAACTATATAATAATTATTAAATTTTTTCTTGACAAGTAAGAATGGAAATAAGTGTTAATTCTTCGTGTATTATTGTATAATAATGCACGTTTTTTCGTTCAAATGCTTTGTAATTAATCACTCTATCGGCCTTCGTGATTGTATTACTACACATTTGAACTCAAACCATGCATTAATCGACAAGAATGCACTCAGAATTAATATCTATTCCCTAAATTTCAGGGAAATTGCAAGACATACATCTTAACAGTACTTCTTTTATTCATACTGTGATCATATAAGCATGCTTAAATACAACATTTGATGCTAATGAGGCCCAGCAAATGGAAATCAATTTCTGCTTTAGTGCTGAATGATACATACATGAACTCTCATGTAACAAAAGGGTAAAAATCTGTGGAAAATTACTACAATGTAATGCAAGTATTAGCTTGAAATTGTCTTTATTACAGGTGACAAAAAATCAAAATTAGGATGCCCATAGTTGAGCGATCATAAACAGTGGTGAAAGTTGAAAACATTATTTAGACATAAAACAGTTTGAAGTCTCTCAGAAATTTTAGAATATAAAAAAATGACTATTAAGAATTTCAGAAGACAATCGGTGTCTCCTATAATTAGGTGAATAGGCATCAGAAGTATATACTACTACACAATGTTGATACTTTAAAACTGAGAAATGTTTGAATAATGTCACATAACTTAATTATGATTTTGGAGTGTAGGTGGCATCACGTCACAAGATAGTCTTATTATTTGTTCTGTGTTATCAAATTAAATGATATCTTGATCTTGCTGACTGTGCACAAACAACTGATGACACTCAACAATGACTTATTAAATATCAATAAAAACTTCAAGAAGCCTGTTATAACTATTTTATATTTAAATGTTGTTGTCCATGACTTTTTGGGACAGCCCTTGTAAATGTACAAGTATTGGTTTGAAACCTTACTTTTCACACATAAAGTTAAGTTTCCTGTCACATGGAGCATCATTCCATTTGCCTTGTTGATTAACCAGTGTCTGCATGCAGTCTTCTTCACTAGAAATTTTGTCTGGTTGCCCTGGTAACCAGTTCTCCAAGTGTACTCGGATGCGACTTGTACTCCATTTGAAAACTCCCTCTTTCTGTAGATCATTAGCTCCAACCCAGAATCCAACCCAATTACTAGTATCCCAGTAATGATCAGCTTTAGCTTTTGATAAAACAAAGGTCACTTCATCCATGTCACTGTACTCCACAAGTTTTGCTTCATTTTTCTGACACCATTCCTGAGCTTGGTACCAATCTGCTGCTTCTTTCTTCAATATGTAACAGGAGTTCATATAAGGGAACCAGCTAGTTGGACATTGATTTAGTTTGCTTATCTTTGTTTCCAATGCCTCATATTTTTTCAATAAGATTTCATACTTCTGTGTTAAACTATCAGTTTTTTCTATACATTTGTTTGATGTTTCTTGGTAGCGTTTCATATTTGTACTTTGAGCATCTCTTAGAATGTTTGTTTCATTTGTATTCATTGCTAGTCTTGATCCAGTATCTTTGTCAAAGTCCTTAAGATTTGAAATCTGAGATTCAATGTTGTCTATATGGTTCCCAACTGATTGAAGAAGTGATTGAAGATTTACTTCCAAGCTTCTATTAGACCCAGCAGTTGCAGAAATCACTGCAGTACACAGGAAAACAATGGCAAGCATAAGTTTAATCTCCATGTTTATTTTATTATTTGGTAGACAAATGTTCTTTTTCAAATGAAACTTGACATGTGGCAAGACTCAAAAAGATAGTAAACAAAATTCTATATGTGATGATATACACTCAGTCAGATGGAAAGGGAAATAGCGCTTGAAGATTTGAGAAAGATTTAATTAATTTTTAGCTCCACTATTCGAAGGATAGGGAGAGCTGTTGTACTTATCCAGGCATTGGCATTACACTATGGTTAAATCTTTGCATACATGTTGGTATCTTCACAACTACTAAAGGGAGTGGCTTAAAACTTCACAGCTGAAAATTTTCAAACTTATTTGAGAGCATTTTAGGTGGTCACTGTCAAAGGCCCATATCTCAGATGTGGATTTTGACAGCATTGTGGCACTATTTGAATTTTACATGATATACAAGCTCTTGCTTACCCTCAAATACTGAGAAGATGAGCACACTGTCGGACCGTTGTTATGCCACTGCAGCATCTGCGATGCGGTGGCATATAGCGATTCACCTGTGTGTTTGTTTGTGTGTGTGTGCGTGTGTTATATAGATTATATAGTGAACTTAAAAAATCTTCTTGTGAAAAACCACTAGTCCAATTTCAACCAAACTTGGCAGGATTGTTCCTTGGGTGAAGGGCTTCCAAAGTTGTTCAAAGAATTTCATTCCATGCAGAAATCTGGTTGCCATGGCAACCAAAAGGAATTATAAGAATAAATTTAAAAAATCTTCTTGTAAAGACCCAAAAGGCCTAGAGCTTAGATATTTTGCATAAGGCATTGTCTGGTAGACCTCTAACAAGATTGTTCAAATTATAGCCCTGGGGTCAAAATTGGCCCCGCCCCGGGGGTCATTGATTTTCACTATGTACATATAGTAAAAACTTAAAATACCTTCTTGTAAAAACCCAAAAGGCCTAGAGCTTAGATATTTTGCATAAGGCATCATCTGGTAGACCCTTACCAAGATTGTTCAAATTATAGCCCTTGGGTCAAAATCGGCCCCGCCCCGGGGTCATTGATTTTCGCTATATGTACATATAGTAAAAACTTAAAACACCTTCTTGTAAAGACCCAAAAGGCTTAGAGCTTAGATATTTTGCATGAAACATTGTGTTGTAAAACTCTAGCAAGATTGTTCAAATTATAGCCCTGGGGTCAAAATTGCCCCCGCCCTGGGGGTCATTGATTTCAATATATACATATAGTAAAAAATCAAAAAAATCTTATTGTCTGAAGGTACAAGGCTTAGAGCTTTAATATTTGTTAAATAATATCATCTAAAGGTACTCTACCAAAGTTGTTCAAATTTTGCCTCTTGTGTCAAAATTAGCCCCGCCCCTGGGAGCCATAGGTTTATCCTATATGTATATAGTTAAAACTTAAAAAATCATCTTCTCTAAATTTACAAAGGATAAAGTTAATATATTACACATGAAACATTGTGTAGTGAACCTCTAGCAAGATTGTTCAAATTATAGCCCTGGGGTCAAAATTGGTTCCGCCCCGGGGGTCATTGATTTTCATTATGTACATATAGTGAAAAAAAAAAATTTTGTCTGAAGGTTCAAGGCATAGAGCTTTGATGTTTGATATATAATATCATTTATAGGTCCTCTACCAAAGTTGTTCAAATGTCAAAAATTGGCCCTGCCCGGGGGCAGTGATTCTCATTATGTACACGTAGTAAAAACAGAAAATAAAACAAATGTTTTCTGAATGGGAGAAAGCTATAGCTTAGATATTGGTGGACCTGTATCAAGATTGTTATTAAACCCTTGGGTCAAAATTATGCCTTGCCCAAGGGGACAGTGACCTACTTTCTTGTCCTTTGATGTACAACAATGACATTTTGACCATGTGCACAGTTTTAGTTGTAAAATTGAACTTTGACCTAGATTTTGATGATGTGACCTACTTTCTTGTCCTTTGATGTACAGCTATGAAATTTGAACCATGCGGTGGCATAGCATTTTTCTCAAATGCAATCTTGTTTTCTTTGTTTTGTTGATTTTTATTTGTTAGTTTTAAGTCACATGGACACTGTTATTGTCATTTGTTAGTTTTAAGTCACATGGACACTGTTGTTGTCATTTGTTATTTTAAGTCACATGGACACTGTTATGGTCATTTGTTAGTTTTAAGTCACATGGACACTGTTATGGTCATTTGTTAGTTTTAAGTCACATGGACACTGTTATGGTCATTTGTTAGTTTAAAGTCACATGGAAACTGTTATGATACATGGCAACTTACTTCATATCTCATTAATCAGTGAATGTATACACTATTAAACAACAAAGTCTTCATGATCATATTATTATTTTAGATTGTACCTCTTCGTGAACTTGGAAATTAATACTGGTATGGGTTTTTGGCAAATAAGTTTCATCTCAACATCTCATCTTGTCAACATAGGCACTGAAATTGAAAGTTTTACTTGTCTGAAAATTTTAGGATATTTCGCAAAAATTGATTATGGATATATATTGAATTAAAAAAAAATGTATTGCATATTACATATCAGGATGGTAAGTGTAGATTTATCAGGTTGGTAAGTGTAGACTTATCAGGTTGGTAAGTGTAGTGTTATCAGGTTGGTAAGTGTAGTGTTATCAGGTTGGTAAATGTAGTGTTATCAGGATGGTAAGTTTAGTCCTATCAGGATGGTAAGTTTAGTCCTATCAGGATGGTAAGTGAAGTGTTATCATGATGGTAAGTGTAGTCCTATCAGGTTGGTAAGTGTAGTGTTATCAGGTTGGTAAGTGTAGTGTTATCAAGTTGGTAAGTGTAGTGTTATCAGGATGGTAAGTTTAGTGTTATCAGGATGGTAAGTGTAGTGTTGTCAGGATGGTAAGTTTAGTGTTATCAGGATGGTAAGTGAAGTGTTATCAGGATGGTAAGTGTAGTCCTATCAGGATGGTAAGTGAAGTGTTATCAGGTTGGTAAATGTAGTGTTATCATGATGGTAAGTGTAGTGTTGTCAGGTTGGTAAGTGTAGTGTTGTCAGGATGGTAAGTGAATAGTTATCAGGATGGTAAGTGTAGTGTTATCAGGTTGGTAAGTTTAGTCCTATCAGAATGGTAAGTTTAGTCCTATCAGGATGGTAAGTGAAGTGTTATCAGGATGGTAAGTGTAGTGCTATCAGGATGGTTAGTGTAGTGCTATCAGGATGGTAAGTGAAGTGTTATCAGGTTGGTAGGTTTAGTCCTATCAGAATGGAAAGTTTAGTCCTATCAGGATGGTAAGTGAAGTGTTATCAGGTTGGTAAGTTTAGTCCTATCAGAATGGTAAGTTGAGTCCTATCAGGATGGTAAGTGAAGTGTTATCAGGTTGGTAAGTGTAGTGTTGTCAGGATGGTAAGTGAATAGTTATCAGGATGGTAAGTGTAGTGTTATCAGGTTGGTAAGTTTAGTCCTATCAGAATGGTAAGTTTAGTCCTATCAGGATTGTAAGTGTAGTGCTATCAGGATGGTTAGTGTAGTGCTATCAGGATGGTAAGTGTAGTGCTATCAGGATGGTGAGTGTAGTGCTATCAAGATGGTAAGTGAAGTGTTATCAGGATGGTAAGTGTAGTGCTATCAGGATGGTGAGTGTAGTGTGATCAGAATGGTAAGTGTAGTGGTATCAGGATGGTGAGTGTAGTGTGATCAGAATGGTGAGTGTAGTCCTATCAGGTTTGTAAATGTTGTGTTATCAGGATTGTAAATGTAGTACTATCAGGATGGTGAGTGTAGTACTACTTGGTTGGTAAGTGTAGAGCTATCAGGTTGGTAAGTGTAGTGTTATCAGGTTGGTAAGTGTAGTGATGTTAGGAAGGTAAGTGTAATGTTTTCAGTATGGTAAGTGTAGTGTTATCATGATGGTAAGTTTGCTATACCCCAAAATGAAGTTTGGGGGAGGGGGGGGGGGTATATAGGAGTCACTCGGTGGTTGATCCAGCGGTCCGTTGCATTTTCCTTGTCCGGAGCATAACTTGAAGACTAATGGTTGGAATTCAATACAACTTCATACAATGGTCAAGCACATTGAGAGGAAGTGCAGTGCACAAGAACCATAACTCCATCTTGACTAATTACAGAGTTATTGCCCTTTGTTACTTTTCCTTGTCCGGAGCATAACTTGAAAACTACTGGTTGGAATTCAAAACAACTTCATACAATGGTCAAGCACAATAAGAGGAAGTGCAGTGGACAAGAACCATAACTCTGTCCAGAGTAATTATAGAGTTATTGCCCTTTGTTACTTTTTTGTCCATTGCATAACTTGAAAACTATTAGTTGGAATTCAATACAACTTCATACAATGAGCAAGGGCAATGAGAGGAAGTGCAGTGTACAATAATCATAGCTCCATCTTCACTATTTGTAGAGTTAACTTACTGCCCTTTGTTCCTTTTCCATGTCCGGTGCATAACTTAAAAACTAATGTTTAGAATTCAATGTAACTTCATACAATGGTCAAGCACAATGAGAGGAGGTGCAATGCTCAAGAAGCATAACTCTTTCTGGCCTTATGACAGTGTAATTCAATAAAACTTCATCAATGGTCAACCACATTGAAAGGAAATGCAACATACAAGAACACCAACTACAAGTATCTTCAATTGCCCACAACCATAACTCTATATCAATTCTTTTGCAAGATACTTTGTAACTAGTAACTTCCACATGTCCAAAGCAGTCTTGGGGGGTATTAATCACATTAAGTGATAGTTCTAGTTTTTATCAGGATGATAAGTGTGTTTTTGTGTAGTGCTATCGGGTTGGTAAGTGTAGTGTTATCGGGTTGGTAAGTGTAGTGTTATCAGGTTGGTAAGTGTATTGTTATCAGGTTGGTAAATGTATTGTTATCAGGATGGTAAGTGTAGATTTATCAGGTTGGTAAGTGTAGTGCTATCGGGTTAGTAAGTGTAGTGTTATCAGGTTGGTAAGTGTATTGTTATCAGGTTGGTAAATGTATTGTTATCAGGATGGTAATTGTAGTGTTATCGGGTTGGTAAGTGTAGTGTTATCTGGATGGTAAGTGTAGTGTTATTAGTATGGTAAGTGTAGATCAATGACCAAGACCTAATATTGTAGCATTGATTTTAATTGAATTGATCCCCCATCTGAGCCTCATGGCATTTTATTACCAAACATTCTTTTATGTTATACAGCAATCTTTTTTTATTACTTCTCATTTTTCTGAACTTTTCCTTCTCATTTTTCTGAACTTTCCTGATTCCTGAATGTCTTTAAGTTTCAATTAGCTTTCACTTGTGCTTCACACACAGCTTAGCATACTCTGAGGTTAGACTTCTTTACTTGTAGATACAGTTGTTGAGCGTGGTGTCTCTCTGACATCTCTTGTCTACTTACTTATTCATGTAATCTTCATCTTTTGCAAACATTTTCAAGTACATGTGACAAGTGTTACTATATTAAATATAAGGAGCTTTTCTTAAGAAAGAAAAAAGTCTTTGTGATACTCACAAGTGGCCATAATTATTTTACTTACTGCAAATTACAATTATTTGTTCTAGAACAAACTATCTTTTATTTGTTTCTTGTCCTTTCTTATCTTGTATAAAAAATATAAGAAATAATTACAAAACATTATGCTTAAAATATTTTTGCTTGCTTGGGTTGAAGTTCTTTCAGGTTAATTAGGTTATATATAATATTATAATACTGCACGTTTGTAACGTCATTATACCCCCAAAAACGAAGTTTGGGGGGGTATATAGGAGTCACCCGGTGGTCGGTTGGTCGGTCGGTCGGTCGGTCCAGACGTCCGTTGCATTTTCCTTGTCCGGACCATAACTTGAAGACTAATGGTTGGAATTCAATATAACTACATACAATGGTCAAGCACATTGAGAGGAAGTGCAGTGCACAAGAACCATAACTCTATCTTGACTAATTACAGAGTTATTGCCCTTTGTTACTTTTCTTTGTCCAGGGCATAACTTGAAAACTACTGGTTGGAATTCAAAAGAACTTCATACAATTGTCAAACACAATAAGGGGAAGTGCAGTGCACAAGAACCATAACTCTATCTAAAGTAATTACAGAGTTATTGCCCTTTGTTACTTTTCCATTGCTTTCTTTTGTCCGGACCATAACTTGAATACTAATAGTTGGAATTCAATATAACTACATACAATGGTCAAGCACATTTAGAGGAAGTGCAGTGCACAAGAACCATAACTCTATCTTGACTAATTAAAGGAGTTACTGCCCTTTGTTACTTTTCCTTGTCCAGGGCATAACTTGAACACTACTGGTTGGAATTCAAAACAACTTCATACAATTGTCAAACACAATAAGGGGAAGTGCAGTGCACAAGAACCATAACTCTATCTAAAGTAATTAAAGAGTTATTGCCCTTTGTTACTTTTCCATTGCTTTCTTTTGTCCGGACCATAACTTGAAGACTAATGGTTGGAATTCAATATAACTACATACAATGGTCAAGCACATTGAGAGGAAGTGCAGTGCACAAGAACCATAACTCTATCTTGACTAATTACAGAGTTATTGCCCTTTGTTACTTTTCCTTGTCCGAGGCATAACTTGTAAATTACTGGTTGGAATTCAAAACAACTTCATACAATTGTCAAACACAGTAAGGGGAAGTGCAGTGCATAAGAACCATAACTCTATCTAAAGTAATTACAGAGTTATTGCCCTTTGTTACTTTTCCATTGCTTTCTTTTGTCAGGAGTATAACTTGAAGACTAATTGTTGGAATTCATTATAACTTCATACAATGGTCAAGCACATTGAGAGGAAGTGCAGTGCACAAGAACCATAACTCCATCTTGACAGATTACAGAGTTATTGCCCTTTGTTACTTTTCCTTGTCCAGAGCATAACTTGAAAACTACTGTTTGGAATTCAATACAACTTCATACAGTTGTCAAGGACATTAAAAGGAAGTGCAGTGCATAAGAGCCATAACTCCATTTTGACAAAATACAGAGTTACTGCCCTTTGATACTTTTCCTTGTCTGGAGCATAACTTAAAACGTACTGGTTGAAATTCAAAACAACTTCATACAATGGTCAAGCACAAAAAGAGGAAGTGCAATGCACAAGAACTATAACTCCATCTTCAGTATTTATAGAGTTATTGCCCTTTGTTTATTTTCTTTGTCTTTCTGGACTTATTACAGAGTAATTCAATAAAACTTCATCAATGGCCAACCACATTGAAAGGAAATGCAATAAACAAGAACCACAACTATCTTTAATTGCCCACAACCATAACTCTATATATCAATTCTTTTACAAGATATTCTGTTACTAGTAACATCCTCATTTCCGAAGCAGTCTTGTGGGGGTATTAATCACATTTAGTGATAGTTCTAGTTTTTCATTGGATAATCGTGACGTTTATATAGTTTTATATACACGGCTGCTGTCGATTCATGAAGAAATCTTACCTTTTTTTTCTCTAAAAATGATGCTTGCTGTATTATAAATTTGTTATAAAGATTGTTGACAGGTTATATGGCCGTATATAAACGGCTATTTGCAATATAACCCTCGCCTAACGGCTCGGGTTATATTTACAAATAGCCGTTTATATAGGGCCATTTAACCTGTCAACGATCTTTATAACTAATATTATAATACTGCACGTTTGTAACGTTGCTTTTCATTGGATAATCGTGACGTTTATATAGATTTATATACACAGCTGCTGTCGATTTATGAAGATATCTTACTTTTTCTCCACAAAATGATGCTTGCTGTATTATAAATTCGTTATAAAGATTGTTGACAGGTTATATGGCCCTATATAAACGGCTGTTTGCAATATAATCCTCGCCTAGCGGCTAGGGTTATATTTACGAACAGCCATACTAGTAGAAAAGTGCCAATTTGGTTATATATACTATAAGAACAGTACCTTTAAGACTTCTTATGTGAAGAACTTAAAAATTTACCTTGTAAAATTTCCTAACAAATCCACAGTACAAATATTTTATTAGTTATGCAACTTGGGTCAAAAATAAAGCATTACTTACTTAACTCTGCATTGAATATATTGTGACCTTTACTACCTGGTGAACTATCCAGTGTCATCTGTAACACAGCAACCTTGTTTGTTTATGGAACTTAGTATAATATATTGCAGGTATAATATATTGCAGGTAATGTCCATTAATGACTTGTTAATGCTATTTAATTTATTCAACTTTCAGATGGTGATATTATCTCTGCTGTGCCATTATTATTCAGTTTACTGGATTACTCTTGTTGGCAGTCTATTGAAAAGCCATGGAGAATAATGTCTGAATGCTTGAAAAAAATTCATAAAGACAAGTAAGCACTTATTTCATTATCTCTCTCCATACATACCAGACTATTAGTCAGTAATTACACTTCTTGTAAAAACGACATTTTTGTGCTTTGATTTTTAGCTCACCTTGCACAAAGTGCAGGTGAGCTTTTAGGATGGCCAACCAAATGGCGTCCGTCGTCTGTCGTCCGTCCACATTTTAAATATTCTAAGGAGATCTTCTATGATACCGCAAGGCCAATGTTAATGAAACTTGGCAGGAATACTCTTTGTATGAAGCTCTATCAAGATTGTTCAAAGAATTCCATTTCATGCAGAACTCTGGTTGCCATGGCCACCGAAAGAAAAATCTTTAAATATCTTCTTTTAAAGAACCGTAAGAGCTAGAGCTTAGATATTTGGCATGAAACATCTCCTAATGAGTGTCTACCAAGTTTGTTCAAATAAAAGCCCTAGGGTCAAAATTGGCCCCGCCCCAGGGGGTCATTGATTTTCCCTATATGCATATAGTAAAAACTTAAAAAATCTTCTTTTAAAGAACCCAAAGAGCTAGAGCTAAGATATTTGGCATGAAACATCTTCTAGTGAGTGTCTACCAAGTTTGTTCAAATAAAAGCCCTGGGGTCAAAATTGCCCCGGCCCGGGGGTCATTGATTTTCCCTATATGCATATAGTAAATACTTAAAAAATCTTCTTTTAAAGAACTGTAAAAGCTAGAGCTTAGATATTTGGCATGAAACATCTTCTAGTGAATGTCTACAAGTTTGTTCAAATAAAAGCACTGGGTCAAAATTGGCCCCGCCCCAGGGGTCATTGATTTTCCCTATATGCATATAGTAAAAACTTAAAAAATCTTCTTTTAAAGAACCCAAAGAGCTAGAGCTAAGATATTTAGCATGAAACATCTTCTAATGAGTGTCTACAAGTTTGTTCAAATAAAAGCCCTGAGGTCAAAATTGGCCCTGCCCCAGGGGTCATAGATTTTCCCTATATGCATATAGTAAAAAGTTTAAAAAATCTTCTTTTAAAGAACCCAAAGAGCTAGAGCTAAGATATTTGACATGAAATATCTTCTAGTGAGTGTCTACCAAGTTTGTTCAAATAAAAGCCCTGGGGTCAAAATTGGCCCTGCCCCGGGGGGTCATTGATTTTCCCTATATGCATATAGTAAAAACTTAAAAAATCTTCTTTTAAAGAACCCAAAGAGCTAGAGCTTAGATATTTGGCATGAAACATCTTCTAGTGAATGTCTACCAAGTTTGTTCAAATAAAAGCCCTGGGGTCAAAATTGGCTCCGTCCCAGGGGGTCATAGATTTTCCCTATATGCATATAGTAAAAACTTAAAAAATCTTCTTTTAAAGAACCCAAAGAGCTAGAGCTAAGATATTTAGCATGAAACATCTTCTAATGAGTGTCTACCAAGTTTGTTCAAATAAAAGCCCTGGGGTCAAAACTGGCCCGCCCCGGGGGTCATTGATTTTCCTTATACAGTCCGACCCCGGTTATTCGACAACCCTTTATTCGAATACCCGGCATTATCCGAAGTAGACGGGCGGTCCCGTTTTTATCTCTATATAAATCAATATAAATACGAGCGTATTATTCGAAATGCGTCATCCGAATACCTCCTATTTTTCGAAGTAAAATTTCGGTCCCGACTATACAATTATGTAAGAATTTCACACCTATTATTCGAAGCCAGCCTAATTATTATTCGAAGTCAGACTAATTGGCGCAGATCCACTCGCTGACTGGTCGACTTGTGAAAAACATCAATAGTCATGCATGTATTTAGACAATCGTGATAATAGCTCTTTTTGTGTTCTTTAATCAACTTTAATTACCGAAAATGAAAAGCAATGCACCGTGTCCGATTTTGTTACTGTTATTGCTTGAAGATGACAGCAATATTTTTCATACATACGTATATGTAAATTTGTCAAAACATCCAAAACGCTACATAAAAGCCTTTTTATACGCCCGTTTGAAAAACGGGACGTATTATGGGAACGCCCTGGCGGGCGGGCGGCGGGCGGTCGGCGGCGGCGTCCAATTTTGTCCGGAGCAATATCTCCTACATGTATGGAGGGATTTTAATGAAACTTCATATAAATGTTCACCACTATGAGGAGCAGTGTCGCGCACATGAACCAGGTCTCTAGGTCAAAGGTCAAGGTCACACTTAGAGCTCATTGAAAAATGCTTGTCCGGAGCAAAACTTCCACATGTATAGAGGGATTTCAATATCACTTGGCACAAATGTTCACCATTGTGAGGCGGAGTGTCGCATGCAAGATTCAGGTCCTTGCGGCCAAGGTCAAGGTCACACATAGAGGTCAAAGTTCAGATAAAAATATGAAGATGTGTATATGGACCATTTAGTCATCATTTATTGAGGGATTGTAACACAAATGGTCATTATCAAGACTATGGCTGTGATACATATAATTTAGGTCAATATATACAAGGTCAAGGTCACTAAAGATGATGAAATATCCAGATTTTGTAAATAGAATTTAATCAAAGGGAGACAAAAAGTTATTACTTTGTTCATAAATGACTTACACAATTACTCCCTTGATCCAATTTCACTTTCAATTCTAAAAATAGAATTTAATCAAAGGGCATAAAATAATCCTCTTTCTTGGACTTGAGTATGTTCTAAAGAATGTAACATTTATTTACACATGTTTCATTCATTGGTCAAGATTCTTAACTGTGATAACTATGGTGTTCTGTAGACTTGGTATTTGTTCATAAAGATCATACAGTAATTACCTTATCAAATGTAAATACTTTCTCATAGAAATTTAATTATATTTTAATTTTCAAGTAAATATCAGTTCAGCTGATTCAAAGATAAAGAATTGTAATGAAATGTATTTCCCTAGAATAAAATCTTAAAATCAGAATTTTTTAGTTATTAGATTACATGTACTTTTTATACGCCGTTTAAAAAAAGATAAAAATATGAAGATGTGTATAGGACGATTTAATCATCATTTATTGAGGGATTGTAACACAAATGGTCATTATAATGACTACGGCTGTGACACATGTACTTTAGGTCAATATATGCAAGGTCAAGGTCACTAAAGATGGTGAAATATCCAGATTTTGTCTGGAGCATATCTCCTACATGTATGGAAGAATTTTTATAATACTTTATGGAAATATTCACCACCATGATATGTATTGCTCCATGCATGATCCAGGTCTCCAGGTCAAAGGTCAAGGTCACACTTAGAGCTCATTGAAAAACGCTTGTCCGGAGCAAAACTTCTACATTCATAGAGGGTTTTCAATATAAACTTGGCACAAATGTTCACCATTGTGAGGCTGAGTGTCGCATGCAAATTCAGATCCCTGCGACAAAGTCAAGGTTCATAGAGGTCAAAGTTCAGATAAAAATTTGAAGATGGTTATAGGACCATTTAGTCATCATTTATTGATGGATTGTAGCACAAATGGTAACTATCATGACTACAGGTGTTACAACATTTAATTTAGGTTAATATTTGCAAGGTCAAGGTCACTGGAGATGATTAAATATCCAGATGTTGTCCGGAGCATATTTTCTACATGCATGGAGGAATTTTAATGTTTCTTTTATAGAATTGTTCACCACCATGAGACGTAGTGCCCTGCACATAAACCAAGTCTCTAGGTCAAAGGTGAAGGTCACAGTTAGAGCTCATAGAAAAACACTTGTCTGGAACAAAACTTCTACATGCATAGAGGGATTTCAATATAGTTTGGCACAAATGTTTCATCATTGTGAGGCTGAGTGCCGTGCATAAAATTCAGGTCCTGCGACCAAGGTCAAGGTCACACATTCTGTGCATATATCTTCCTATTGATTTGTTTTAAGGTTCATTTAACAACACAGTGCCAAGAATAAAAACTTGCTTGCTAGATAACACTTATCCATAATGCCCCCATCTCCATCTAAAGCTTTTTCGTAAACGGGCGTATTTTGTGACTATGGCACCCTTGTTCCTAATCGAAAATACCAGTTGAGCTGTAAATACCGTAGTGACAACACGGCTATTATCAAGGTTCTGCGCGAAACGAAGCGATACATAATGTAGAATAAAATGCAAGTATTTATGTCTTCAATGTCATTACAATAATTTTTACGCATCTTTTCTTTAATATTTATTTTTCTCAATTGATTACAGGAAGTAAATGAGTTTTAAACGGTAGTTTTACTACGATTCGTCAAAGTGGAGTAGTTTTCGTCTATCACAATATTCGGATTTCGATTATTCGAACCCATCGATTATTCGAAGTAAATATTCAGTTCCAGGCACTTCGAATAAACGGGGTTGGACTGTATGTGTATAGCAATAACTTAAAAATCTTCTTTGAAAAAACCCAAATAGCTTGAGTTTAGATATTATACATGAAACATCTTTAAGTAAATATCTACAAAGTTTGTTCAAATAAAAGCCCGGGGGTCAAAACTGGCCCTGCCCCAGGGGTGTCATTGTTTTTAACTATATGTGTATAGTAAAAACTTAAAAAATCTTCTTTCAAAAAACCCAATGAACTAGAACTTAGATGTTTAGCATGAAACATCTTCTTATGGGTGTCTACCAAGTCTGTTCAAATAAAAGCCCTTGGGTCAAAATTGGCCGGGGGGGGGGGGGCTATATACAGGTGAGCGACCTCAGGGCCATCATGGCCCTCTTGTTTTTTTCTTTAGTGAGATATTAAAATGTGTTACACAATGCTATATGTCAATCAATAATTTAGAAATCATTGCAGTAATAAGGTATTGCATTGCATGTATTATTCAAGATGAGCATTCGCCTAATTATTATAACCCCCCATCCTCGCCCCCCTTCAAAGCAGTGGGGTATATTGCTTTGCATTTGTCTGTCAGTCCGCCCGTAGACCAAAATAATGGTTTCCGATCAATAATTATAGACCTAGGAACTGACTGTAAGCCCTAGGAACTTCAAACTTGGTATGATGACTGTTTTGTGACCAGTAGATGACCCCTAATGATTTTAGGGTGAAGGGGTCAAAGGTACGTTGAAACGGTTTCCA